TAGTATGTATGGAACAAATAATATTGTATTAGTTTTTTGAATCAGTGAACGTTAACCTATTGAGCTGGAATTTTGTACACACGGTTGTTTTGCGTGACAATAATGAATTAAGTGGCGCCATTTTGAATCCAATATGGCCGATGCTACAAAATGGCGATTCCTCATTTTCATAGTAACCTCTACGAAGTTTTATACAGTCCTATTATACAGGGTGTTTCAGTTTATTGTTGCATAACTTTAAGATCCGATAAAATTTTTAAAATTAATGTATAAAGTCTATATAAACATGGGTCGAAAAATGCGTGGCTTCCGAAATACAGGGTGTTTAAATTTACTTTCTAAAATAGTTTTTTTTTTAAATATTTGAGCAATATTTGATATATAACAGTGAAAATTGGTATACAAGGATTTTTTGGTACGACAAAACGAACCATGGGCATAGTTTTACTGTAGCCGCTAGAGGGTGCTCTCTACTGTACCTGTAGTGTATTAAAATGACCGAAAATTTTTTCTTAGTGCAATTTTTTGCTTTTTGAATAAAAAAAAATTGATTCTTCGCACTTTTCAACATATAAAAGCTCTCCTGTGAGTTTTCGTTATAGTTAGCCGTTTTTGAGATATTTCGATTTTTAAGGTTCGATGCATTTTTAATTATTTATGGGAAAATATTTTTTTTTACATTTTCGATTTGGTCATTACAAGTAATTAAGATGATCGTTTAGATTGTGTTTTTAAACACAGCAATAATTCCTAACTCCAAATAAACACAAAATATCAGAATATTAATTTGTTTAATTTTCCAATATTATTTTTAACAAATTAAATTAATTATTTACAACTAAAATGCTATTGGATAGTTAGGACAATCATACAAAATCTAAAGTAGTTGCTCAAAATGTAAACCCAATTGTTCAATACACAATTCACATCTACGAATGATCGAACGTTTCAAATAAGGCCTTATTTCATCACATGCATTCCTGATTATGTCTATTAGCATATCTCTTTTGGTTACGGGAGTCTGGTATACTTTTTCTTTTAGAAATCCTCACACAAAGAAATCTAATGGATTTAGGTCAGGGGATAGTGGAGGCCAGGCGACTGGTCCTCCACGGCCGATCCATTTTTCTGGATAATTTTCGTCAAGCCAGTTTCTAACTATTCTCGAATAATGAGCTGGACAACCATCAAGCTGGAACCAGGCCAATCTTCTTAAATCTAACATAACATCATCCCACATATTTGCATGTTCAGCCTTTAAAAATTCCAAGAAGGTCGCAGCATTTAACCTTGCAGGCAAAAGGTAGGGTCCAAATAGTCGATTACGGTAGATACCAATCCACACGTTCACACTAAATTCATGCTGAAAATTTCTTTCCCGAACTGCATGCGGATTTTCATGCGACCAAATATGTTGATTATGAAAATTTACCACTCCACGTCTAGTGAAGCATGACTCATCGGTCCATAAAACGTTACTTAAAAACTCCCTATTATTATCAGTTCTATCAAGAATCCACTGACAAAATGTGATTCTTCGTTCTCCGTCCCCTGGCTGTAGTCCTTGCACAGGTTGCAAATGGTAAGGACGTCTATGGTCATTTCTAAGAACACGGTGAACATGGCTTGCTGAAATTCCCAAGGCACCAGAAACTCTCCTAACACTTGTGGTCGGATCTCTATCAAACTCATGCAGAATCATACGGGTAAATCTGCGCTGACGAACATTTATGTTTTGATCCTTTTGGAGATTTCCAAAACCATTTTCAATTATTTGGCGATGCACTCTTACAAATACTGAGCGAGTTGGATGTCGTCTGTTTGGAAATCTTCGTGCGTATTCTCTGGCTGCTTCTGCTGCGTTTCCATTTACAAAGCCATACACAAAATGAATATCCGCTAACTCTTGATTGGAGAATAAAAATGGCATTTTTATAAAACTTACAAAAAAAAAACAGGCAAAAGAAACTAAATTTCGTGCATTCACAATTGCAAAAAAACGTTTCAGGTTTCAACAGACAACAAAACTAACTGTCAACTAATTGACGTTTAACCTTATTCTGCCTTCAATTTCAAAAATATTTGCAGACACAGCCTACTTCTGAAAATTATCGAGATACTGACTTTTTAACGTTATTTTATCATAAATAATTAAAAATGCATCGAACCTTAAAAATCGAAATATCTCAAAAATGGCTAACTATAACGAAAATTCACAAGAGAGGTTTTTTATGTTGAAAAGTGCGAAGAATCAGTTTTTCTATTCAAAAAGCAAAAAATTGCACTAAGAAAAATTTTTCGGTCATTTTAATATACTACAGGTACAGCAGAGAGCGCCCTCTAGCGGCTACAGTAAAACTATGCCCATAGTTCGTTTTGCCGTACCAAAAAACCCTTGTATACCAATTTCAACTGTTGTACATCAAATATTGTTCGAAATATTTAAAAAAAAAACTATTTTAGAAAGTAAATTTAAACACCCTGTATTTCGGAAGTCACGCATTTTTCGGCCCATGTTTATATAGACTTTATGCATTAGTTTAAAAATTTCTATCGAATCTTAAAGTTATGCAACAATAACCTGAAACATCCTGTATATAGAAATTACCAAACTAATTAGTTGACATCATAAATACTAAAAAGTCAAAAATAAATGAAATCAAAAAAATTGGAAATATTTAAACGTCAATAAGGCTCCTTCCTCCCGAGTTTTCAAATAAAAATAACCTTGTGTTTTGACAGTAGGATGGGTATAACATGTTATTATCATAAAACTTGAGATGAACGAGCTTCATTATCGTTTAAATATTTCCAATCGGCAAAGTTTTTTTAAATTTTTAGTTGGTTTAACCAAATAAAAACTTGTTTTTAAAAATATGTTTTTTTTCATTTTATTAACCTGTAACGGATACGTTTACATTCCTGCTAATGAAAATAAAACGCTTTACATCTATAACAAACCCATCAAAGAAGTGTGCTAATAGTACGATCGACAATGCTTTTAGTAAAACCCGAGTAGAGCATTTAGTATAACCATCAAGCGGGTGGGGCGTTTAAATATAGACCGTTATCTCCATTCTGTTTGTGAATAATTACACCATGAGCTAGGCGACGAGTGACAGGATAGGAGGAGAATCTAGTGTGAGTGTTCGTGTGATGTCAGTGAACCTTCGACTTGGAAACCTACTAGCTGTTACATGCCTGAAACGTGATACATTTACATTCCTGCGTACCATCTGATTAATAGTAGTATACAGTGCTTTTTAAAAAGCCTCCCTACTTTTGATCCGCAACGGTATCAAGTATCTTGAAAAGTGACATTATGTTTTTATACATTATATAGGTTTTTCGGGACATTATGTAGGTTTTTATACTTAGCTATAGCTGCAAGGAAACGGCAGTGCATAGGTGTAGGGGAGAAGGGAGCAAGTTGTTACGAGGGCAAGTTGTTACATAATTATTTTAAAGCGCAGCAAGTACGACGGGTTGCCTGAAAATGTACAAGAGATTGGCTCTGCCGACCCGCCATCTGTACACTAACAGTTATACTCATGTGTAGCGTCCTTCATGGTGTTTTCGTGTATAATGTTGTTTCAGTTATAAAACTGTACCGTTGTCTGTTCGCTTTTGTTTCCGTTTGTGAAAAATTGGTAAGTAGTATAAATATGTATATTATACCGTTCTGGAGCCTATATTTTTCTCTTTATTTGCATGCCGTTGTCTTTACCTGATTCACAATACTTACCAAAAAACATTGACCTAACCTCATTTTGTGCACGCGGGGCAAGTTGTTACAATAATTTGGGGGCAGGTTGTTACTGTATCAACTTGCCCCATATATTTTAATGCAAGTACTATAATTTTCCATTCCACTAAAATTGACACAATAAAATTGTTTTTGTTGTTTTCAGGTTCTTGAACATGGTGCGAACGTACAAGAAGAAAACTGCAAGAGGTATTATTCCAATTGAACAATATGAAAGTGCCATGCAGGCCATATTACAAGAAAAATTATCAATTAGAGATGCTGCTACTCGCTACGGGGTTAATTTTATGACGTTACACCGCTATATGAAAAAAAAGTTAGCCCTAAGCGTTGAAAACAGAAGCAAGTGCTTAGTTGGCTACGCTACACACAGAAAAATATTTAACGATGCCAAAGAACAGGAACTTGCGAAATACACAGAGTATTCCACTAAAATTTATTACGGTCTTACAACTTCTGATTTGCGCAAACTTGCATTTCATTTTGCGATAGCAAACAACATATCTGTTCCAGAAAATTGGAAGGTGAAAGAAATAGCTTCCAAGGATTGGTTATATGGATTTCTGAAGAGGCATCAAACTTTATCTGTCAGAACACCCGAAGCTACTAGTATGGGCAGAGCCACTGCGTTTAATCGCCATAATGTGTCGCAGTTTTTCAATAATCTTGGCAAGGTTTATGATAAATATATATTCCAGCTTCAAGATGTCTATAATATGGACGAGACTGGACTTACCACGGTCCAAAGGCCCACAAAAATCATAGCAAAAAGGGGAACTAAGCAGGTAGGCGCTATCACTTCTGGAGAAAGGGGTCAACTTGTTACCTTGGCATTAGCGGTTAACGCAAATGGCAATTTCGTACGTCCATTCATAATATTTCCAGGAAAAAATTCAAGGATGTTATGGTAGCAAATGGGCCTCCTGGTTGTGTCGGTGCATCCCATTCCTCTGGGTGGATGACATGTGAAAATTTTTTGTTGTTTATGAAACATTTTGTCCAATTTGTCCGCTGTAGCAAAGAGAAACCAGTTTTAATGGTCTTAGATAATCATTAATCACATTTATCTATCCCTGCGTTGAACTTTTGCAAAGTTAATGGAGTTGTTCTTTTAAGTTTCCCGCCCCACACATCTCACAAACTGCAGCCCCTTGATCGCACTGTGTTTGGCCCACTTAAAAGATATTTCAATAGTGCTGCAGATGCATGGTTAAGATCTAATCCAGGTAAAGTAATGAACATATATGATATACCTACCGTTACGCCTCTTAATATACAAAAAGGATTTAAGGTGACTGGAATTTGGCCTTTCAACAGACAAATATTTCAAGATGATGAATTCTTACCCTCAGAAGTAACAGACAGGCCAAAGCCAGAAAATATTAACACAGCAATGGAAATAAGTCCTGAACCAGAATTTAATAGGGAAAACCAAAGAACCCCACAACCTTCTACGAGTTCAGCTTGCAGCTTATCGTTAGATAAATCTGTTGATTTACTATCTACTGGTACTCATATAACGCCCCGAGAATTAAAACCTTACCCAAAAGCCATGCCAAGAAAATCAAAAGTAGGTCGGAAGAAAACAGTTTCCGCAATTTTGACAGACACTCCGATTAAATCTGCTTTAGAGGAGGAAGAAAGGACAAGACAAAGAAAAAAAATGTGGGAGCAACTAAAAGAAACATATCAGGTGAATTAACAAGTGGGGCAAAGTCTAAATGTAAGAAACAGAGCGCTAAAAAGACCCTTAAAAAAATAGATTCTACAAGCTCAGAAGAGGTTGAAGAATCGGCATGTCTGATATGTTTAACTCCATTTTCACATTCTAGAAATGAAGAGTGGATCCAGTACATTGTCTGTAAAGGGTGGGCGCATGTAGGTTGTGGCAAAGATATCGATTTTTATGTTTGTATTCACTGCTTGTCCGATAGTGATTAGTTTAACTTTCCTTTACAAGTTTCTTTAGGTTTTTGTTTTTACAAAAGTTTCATTTAATTTTTTTTATTTTACTTTATGTAATGTTCCGAATGTTTTATGTGTTGCTAAATAAAGGTTCCTTCCAAGACCAGTTATCAAAACTGTTTTTTGAAGTTTTTGAGTTTTTTTTCTTGTATCACCTTACCCCTTAGACTGTAACAATTTGCCCTACAGAGGGGCAAGTTGTTATAGTTTACAAAGTTACTTGAACTTATAATTACCAAGTACAAAGAATTCAAAAAATTATAAAATAAAATTGATAATACATGTACAGATATATGTGGTACCTTTCTCCAATTTTAGTTTTCATATAAAAGAACAACTTTTGCCCAAATAAATAGCTATATTAATTTTGTAACAACTTGCCCCCTTCTCCCCTATAGTGAGGATTTGTTTGCTAAATCTGTGTTGATGATAATTCCATTGGTTTCTTGTCTCAAATACACTTACTTGAGTTTTATGCAAAGCTAAAAATTAGTTGCGCATCCCTTTTTCTTATTCAAAATGGAAATTACATAAGCAAAGGAGGTGGGTTGATAAGGGCCATTTTTCGCCCATAACACACTCAAAAATAAAAAGTTCGATTCCAGCCTATTATTGAATTTATTTGTGAACTTCAAGACGTGTTATTTTTATTACATAATATTTATGGTATAAATAATGTAATATGATTCAGAAATTATTGCCAAGAAATAGAGTATTTAGCGCTTTTTCGATCTTTGAATCATGTTTTCCTTATGAAGCGTTCCATGAACCACATTCCATGAACGGCAACCGCCTGCGTGTTCAGACATGATGTTTCGCGCCTGAAAAGTACGTAGTAAAGGTATAGAAACTGTGCTGTGCTGTCGCGTTCAACGATTATTGAAAAACTTGATAAAACAACAATGCCTGGATGCCAGTGTGTTTCTTGTAAAACGTGGCGAAAAAGAAACAGCGATTTCCGTAGCTGCTCGAACAAAAACATCAAAGCAGTACTTAGAAAATCTAAAAACTGTGATCTGCAGATTGGTTCTAAGTTGTGTCCTAAGTGCAGATCATATGCATCCCGCGTGGCTCAATCCCAAAAGACTCCCACTTCATCTTCTGCAAGGACAACAAGAGTTCTTATATCGACAAGTACCTCTGATGATACTGAAGGATGGTCTGATAGTGATTCGAATGAAGAAGACCAGGGAAGAAGATTAGTAAAAAATATATTTAGGCCCAATTTCACCAACAACAGTCCGTTATTCTCCACCTATAGGGTAACAGTCCGACAAATACAACGAATGAGCTTCAAGTTCCAATCAACAAATTTTAGCAACCAATAGCTATGAAATGTTGAAAACAAAATACTGTCAAAGTATGAGATGACAACTTGTCATTGAAACATCACCAACTTATTGAATATTAAGAAATTACATATAACTCAGTCAAAATTTTAAGAAATGTTGGATTTTTGAATAAAATTCATGTTTTAATTAATATTGTTGATTTTTTATTCATGTTTATATTATTTTCTTCAATTGATATGCAATACTGAGTGTTTTTCCTATAAACCTCTTGCAGATAGCCATTAAGCACCTACTTGATGACAGGCTCTACCAAAAGATATTGGTCGTTTCCAAACATTCATTCATTTACTTGCCGTTCATCAGAACCATTATGGGACCTTAGATTGATATTCCCACAAAACCATTCAGGTTTTTTGATATCCATACATCCATAAAGTTGAATATTTTTCGTTGTTCAGGAACTGAACAAACATCCACACTATATTCACAGCGATTAATAAATTCCCAAATATACGCCGTAAAGCTATCATCAAACCTAAAACCTGCAAAAAAAACTACAAATTTGCCATATTTTTCTTTTTTCACGAGTACACATTCTAGGTTATATTTATATTAGACATTATTTGAATACAGCTGATTACTGCATTTCAAGGAGTGACACATGTGTGGGATCTGTCAACTCTTGGTACTAGTCACAAAATTATATTATACTCTGAAGGTTTAATTCCATGCTATTCCATGACAACACTGTGACTTGTTTGGTTATCAGCGGCCATTTTGTGAGGGTGCGACAGGGTTGCCAGATTGTGCATTAATATCCCGTTTCACCCTCCTGGCCCCAGTGGAGTAAGTTCCGCCAACTGTTGAAATATACTCTAGTATGCTTTATAAGACTATTCGTGACATTTTCCCAAAATCATTGCACAACACTTGAAAAAATGCAAATGAAAATTTAAAATTATTTCCTTGACGCCGCAATATAGCTCCGTCGGTGCCTTGGGTGATAAATCTTGACAGTAGGGATGTTCGGTACGATCCTTTATTTACATTTCACGAGTATCGTCATCTTTCGATCCGGACTGTCCCAGAAAGAGTGACTGCCATTTGGCTGCGACATTACCCTGCCAAATCAGACATATCCTTCATCATTTTCAAAGAAATTGTACAAAATCTTCAAATTTGTGAAGTTAGCGAGTTTCACTTCATACGTTGTTACCAGACATGCCCAAATCATCAGTTGCTGCCGTGATATTCATCCCGACCACTGCATCCCCACGGCTAGGCTACCTGTATTCTAAATTTGTAATGATAAGGCTCAGGGTTATGCTATAAATCATATGTCACAGTGTTTGTGCACTGATTGCAACGGTTAGATGATACCAAAAATATTTTCATAAATAGGAGATCTTTCCCATTCCGGATCGAACAATCTACCAAAGATGCTTATAATCATGATGCCTAGTAAATTTTCACGAAAAAAATTCAAAACCAGCAAATGTAAAAGATTCATTTCGCACCCTCCACCACGGGACGTGATCGTCGTTAGACTTGGCAACCCTGCGAGTGTCAGATATATATCCCCGCCAGTCAAAAAGAAAAATAGACAAACAATACACATTCCAATTTTTTTGATTTTTGGATTTTAAAGCCGTTATCTGTGAAACATTTTTCATAATTTTTTGTCTATGTCCATAGTAATTGCATTATGCATCAGGGAGCTGTAGGGATTGACACGTCTTACACATATTATCTGTGTTTTAGGATGGAGAGGACATAATGTTTTTATTGCTTTGAAGAAATTCATTATCCCATAAATTAATAAATGATTGACTATTATGACGTAAAGGAAGATGAGGAATTGTATGGAATGTATTTTATATTCTATTTTCTTGCAAAATACAGACAAATCCACACTGTTCAACAGGTATGTAATGATAACTTTCAGTATATTGAAGTTGGTAAACTCAAGAGTGCCATGCATTAACAAACGTCCACATCTGCTGCCAAATTTAACAGCTAGAAAATCGACCTATTATTTGCCGCATTCCCAGGGGATAACGGATTGTTAAATGTAAACCTATAACAAATATCAAAATACATGAAAGTTGTCCTGTTTTTTCTGTACAAAAGCATCATGTTGGAATCAAAAAGTGGTCTTGTTTATAATACAGTCGAATTTTCACGATTTTATTCAATATTTCAATAGAAATCACTAATATTCAGAGACCTTTGACAGCTTCCGTCAAATTGCATTTCGATAAGGTATTTTCCCATTGGTCCATAATATTAATGTTGGTGAAATTGTCCCTAAATGTATGAAAACTGATTATCTTTTATTATTGTTTAATGAACATATATAACACTCAGATAATAATTTATGTATGAATACCACGAATTTCAGTTATCATTTGAAATAAGTACGTTTTCTTTGTTATGTAGTGTATATTCTTCATGTATATGTCATATCTATTCGCTGATGGGCGAAAAATGGCTTTTATCAGCCCACCTCCTTTGCTGAATTTAAAAAAAGAAAGCGGTAATAAACGAAAATCCCTGGTCGGGAAATTATATTAAAACTAACAGGTGAGAAAATATGGTCCATACATTCATGAAACGTAAAAAAGTGATTACATTTCACATTATTTCTCATTTTCCAGTCATTTAAATTTTATAGAAATTTATTTTGCGATGTCAAGTTTGACGTACAACATGTATGACTAAAATTTGTTTAAACTTATATTTGACGATTTTTCGAATCTATCTATTATTTTAATTACAGAGGCCCACAAAACCAAAAAGTGGTGTGTACTGGGAGGGCCCACGATATTTTTTCCATGTATTTTTCACGTTGAATACGCATCTGGAGGCAGAACTGGTGGTGGGTAGACAAATATGAAAGTCATTCAGACATTAACCCCTTATCTGACAAGCATTGAAGTTTCAATTGGATAAATTTGGGAGTTATCCAAGTTATGTATGTATGAGCTTTCTAATGTGAAGAGCTGAAAAAACTTTATTAGCATGATTTATGCAAATTAGGGCATGTCGCTCGTAAGCAACATTGCCAATGCAAGAACATAGTTAAAGCTTATTGATTTGTATGAAGAGCTTTGAAATAGTTTTTGTTTGGTAAAAAACAAATAATTAAATTGCAATTAGTGCATCTTATTGTTGAATAACCACTAAGGCAATATCTGCATTGTCCTTTGAGTCCATGAGACATGAATAAATAAATGATTATTGAAAAAACATGAAATTCGCGATACTTTTTGAACAAACCTCGTATATGAGCGGGTATGTGTAATGTAGTTCGGACCTTCAGGAGTCGCCTTCAGCATTTAAAGAATTAAAATGATATAAGCTGTTGACTCGGAAATTAAAACATTTTTTCCTATATATCCAGGTGTTTTATCTACTTTGAACCTGTTTAGCAGGCTCTACCGCT